TTATAATCTTCGTCCCTTAAACCATAAAATATATATATTGTTTCACAATTTCAATTAGTTTTTCTATAACAGCCATTTTAATTCACGCGAATCTATAACTGCAGCGGAAAAAATCGTGCATGCAGCGTTTCATGAAAACAACGCTGATCTGCCGCAACCGTTGGGACACCCCAACTTGTCTGAACCTGCATAAGTCGCCGTGCCTTACGATTCGCCGCGATTCCGCGGAGGTCGCGACTGCGAAAGTTTCGCGTCGGTTTGGGAAATCCTTAAATGTCCTTAATAAAAAAACCAAAGGAAAAAATATTGTTGTTTATATTGTAAACTGTGTGTAATCATCAAAATAATAAATCACTAATTTTAGAATTTCTGTAAACTTAATACGGTTCAATTAAATAACTTTTTTTTAAATACCTTCAATATTGTAAATAATGACAAAGAGGGTTTTTGCAAAGAACGCCTCAATTGTTATTATATTATTAGATCGCATACTGTTTACAAAGGATATGACATGGCAGCTATGCTGCAAAATACATGTCACGGATTTAAAAGCACTAGCATCTGGCCGCTTAACCCTGATATATTTTTGGGTTATATATGTACGTGACTGTTACACCACAAGCATACCGCTGGAAGACAAATGCAATGAACAGCCTTCTCAGACTACAACACTAATAAGCTCTGTCGAGTATGAGCATGTTTTGATACAACCTTCACAACAAGAATATGATTCAGGTCCTGTAGCAAATACGTGTTGCTGTGGCTGCTGCGTTACCTCTCGTTCAGTCATGGTCCCATGATACGATATAAAATAGTACTGCCAAAATAACAGCATACTCCGACATACAAGCTAAAAAGTGATTCCAGGTTCCAAAGAAATTTTTTTAAAACTTTTAACTCAATTTTTGTTATAGCTATATGACAGCCCTTGTCTAACACGTACTAATATTGTACGCGAGATATGCGGCATAGAAATGAAGACGAGATAGGCAGCCGTGCTCAGGTTAATTCTTGTTAAAATTCTGAACCACATGAAACAGTGTTCGAAGTTTGAGGTTATTTTTCAGGATAAAAACGTTTTTACGGCGAGAAAAATTAAAATTCATTATATTGTGATATAAGATATTTTCCCAGGTAAGTACTAAAAACTATAAGTGTTAAAAGTCTCTCAAAATCCCTAAAAAGGGTGTGTCCTATATTGTACGCTATGAAGTTATGGACTCATTAATTGTTGTTGGAGATATGGATTCGAAATTCTTTTAGAGTACAAAGAGTACAGTTCGAATACCAGATAGTTCTAATAGTGAAGAATCAGTTCTCTCCGATGAAGATGGCACAACTGAGATGATATTGTGTCAAGATATTGACAATGAGGAGAGCGCAGGTTTGCCAAGCAATGTCAAGGAGACTGATATTTCTACCACATCGTCAGATTTCTCAAATGATGACACCCCTTTGTCTAAAAGACTATGATATAAAAGGGAAAAATCTTATAATTGGGTGAAAAGAAATCTGAAAAGATTAGCAAATGATAAAATAGACTAGTTTTTAGACAAAATAGAATTAGAAGCTCCGGTTTATTTTTTTATTCTTTTTACTGAAAGTCATATAGGTAGAGCACATCGACGTATAAATACAGATGGACACAGCAATAAGATACCTTTAACACACAATGTTTTGAAGCTTCGATAGAATGTGATGCTTCCTCAATGAGCATAAGCGTGCTTGAATTTTTACTCGCGCGGATAATTATTCAGACTTTAAAAATTGGAAGTAGTAATAATGTATAAAAACACGTTCAAAGAATTAAAAAAAACAGAGTTTAACTATTAACAAATCACGTCTTTATAGAAAAATTAAAATACAATTTTATTTGGTTTAAAATTAATATAATAAAATATAGTTGAATTCAAGGTAATTTTTTAATAGGTAATACTATAAAATAATGCTAAAATAAAAAATCTTTATGTTTTCTCCTAAATTTGCTACCCAAATAGTTCGATCGTCAATATTATTTTTAAACCTACATAGAGAAATAAATGAGTTTTATTCATTTCACTAATTTATTTGTGTCCATGGGAAATATTAAAATAAAAAGGTACTAAACAGATATTTTTTAATCAGATTATCTACTTACAACTTAAAAATGTCTACTAATTTCATGAACTCATATCTTATTTAATACATTAATGAACATGAATAAACCCAATGGTACGCCTATGAAAGACATGTTTTAAAATGTAAACAAACACGCTTCCTCAGTTCCTCATCTTAAATAATGTAAATAGACAGTACTTACAAATGAAATGAGAGATCTGGATGTAAATATTTAGTTTTTTTTGCAAATGCAATCATTCAAAATACAGCCAAAATATCGAAAAACAACTTTTCCTTATCTACTGTAAAAAGTAAACAAACATGGAACAGCACAGCATTTAAAGTTTGACGTAGAGCCGTAAGACAGAGAAATGTAAATACCGCTGTCATTTATAAATAGTTTTCAGTGCTTCTACATATAAAATAATTGATTGATATCTATTATACGCTATTATTAAATGATAATGCACACTATGTGCACATTTGATATTTTGATTAATTAAATATATTAATATAGCCAATAAATTATTATTTTGGTTTCATAGCATCTGTAGAGTATAAAATAGGGAGTAATATTTTCAGCGACTCGCGAATAAGAAATTTTAATAAAAAAACGTGACAACAGTTGAAGGTGCTGAGAATGTGACCTATTTAAATAATTTTGACTTCACAATTTTATGTCAATAACTGAGTCCATCTGTGTTTATACGTCAATGGTAGAGTATATTACAAAACAATTAAAGTCTCCGAGCAGTTAGCGATGTGGTAGATGGTGAGTAACAATGATGTAATGATTTAAAATGATCGGAATAAACCTTACAGATTATTCAAAATTTAGAGGTGTTTCGAGCTAAATCCAAGAACGACTACTCATGGTTTCAAAAAAGAATTCTAGCTGTAGACGAACAGATTATACCAACAAAAGCTCGAAATAAAAGCAGTATAACTCAACAAACAACCACATTAGTGGGGCTTCAAAAACTGTGCTGAGTGGTATTTCGGAATTCAACTATGCATTTAATTTGTTTGCTGGCTCCCAAAGTAATACTGTACTAAAATGATACCTTGTCCTAACAGTGTCCTTATCTACAATAACTACGTGGGAGGTGTAGATCTCCTTGATTCCATGTTCGGATTCTATCGTATAAAAATCACGTCAAAGAAATATTACTTAAAAATATTTATTCACTTTATTGATATGACAACCATGAACTGTCCGTTATTAGCCAGAATAGCGAAGAAATGTTATTCGCCCATTTTTAATTCCCAATTGGCAATAGCTGATGATGCTCTATCTTCGGACTATAACTATAGCTCTTCGGACTTCTGGCTTACTAACTCTAAGTCCTAATTTTAAATCCCTTGTATTTAACACTCTTCTTATTTTGTTGAAATTTTTTCTAGCCTTTTTTATTCTGATTTTGATCTCCTGAATGTAATAATTTGTGAAGTTAATAATTGTTTTCAGATATACATATTTCTCCAATTGTTCGACGTTGGATCCATTTATGAGAAGATTCTCGTTATTTCTTTGAGTTTTCCATATTCTCATACATTTCATCTTCTTGACGTTAATTGTTAGACTGTACTCTTTACCATACTGCGCTATTCTGGTCACCAGTGCCTGAGAATCTTCAATATTTTCGGCTAAGATTACAATTTCGCCCTCCTATCTAATGTTGTTAATGGGAACTCAGTTTAGCTTTATTCCAGCTATTTCACCCTTCAGAGCTTTTTTCAGTCTCTTCGGAGTAAGCATTAAAAAGAATTGGAGACAATACGCATCTTTGTCTTACTCGACGTCTAATTTCAATTACTTCTTACAGCTGTTCGTTAACACCTACTTTAGCTCGCTAGTTATAGTATAAATTTGATATGATCCTGAGGTCGTTGTAGCTTTGATTTCAGGACATTTATTAACTGTTAATGTCGTACTTTATCGGGACAAAGCGGCAAAGCAACTAAACTAAACAGAGTAAGACGACCGTCAAGTAGTAGCCTTTAGCAGATGTACGAGTAAAAACCAAAAAAGGGACCCTCTAAAGAAATTCCCGAAGAAGACATATATGTAAAGCTGGGTTTGATCATTTTCCCTATTGGGATGAGAAATTCGGATGTGTTTTAATAAATAGACATAAGGAATAAAAAAGAAACTGTTATTTGCAGTTTCATATTGCATAGTGTATACTGTAATGTAAAAATCTATTGCTGTTCATATTGATTCCCTTTCTCCGGTGCCAAAAAGCATGACTTAGCGAAACGTAAACCAAAAATTGGACAAAAGTCGTTGGTGCTCATTTTTACTCCTACTATGTTGAAAATAAAATCTTAAAATAAGCCCAAAGCTCCTCCAACAAAGATAAACGCAAAGCCAGCAAACCATTATTTAAAGAAACTGATGAGGAAGAAAATTTTCCTAATATTTCTTATGACGATTAACAAGACTGTGCTTGCATTGAATGTAATGACCTTTATTTAAGATCTAAACCCGGAGAAGACTGGTTGCGGTGTTTACAATGTTTGCTTTAGATTCTTCACGCTTCTTACGCTATTGTTCCAAGAAGAACTAAGCGTTTTAAACAATAACAATTATTTTACGGTTATTTCTAAATGATTCACACTTGTCATCATTAAGAGATACAAGGGCATCAATAATTAATCTGTTTTTGTTTCTCTTAAACTACTTTCTGTATGGAGGAAATAATAATTGATTTGCTATCGACAAAAGAGACTAGTTTTTCATAAGTGTATTATTTGTGAGGAAAATTGGACAGTAAAAAAAGAAATATTTGATTATTAATGTGACTTGAAAAAACTTAATAGTTATTAATTGTTACAAGATTAAATCAAATTTTTGGTAAGGCATATGTTACAAATTGTATTTAGTGGCAAAAATTACTCACTTGAAATATCGGAAAATCGTTACAGCTATGGCTAGTGTGACCAAACTCAGCGTATATCCAAAGAAGTAAATTGTTGTTTGTGTTTCAACGTCGGTAGGTAGTGTAATAATTTCTTTGCATCCAGTGTAGTCGGACTTCGACCACGTGCCGTTCGAGAGACAAACCCTTGTTGCATTTTCTGAAAAAGAAGTAACAAACTCAAAATCCTTATTCGCAAACAATTGTTTAATATTATCGTGTTATTATAGTTTAGATTTAAAATTCTAGCGTCACCTAGCAAATAAAATCTAAACAGATAACCTAACCGTTTAAATAAAGTGAAATTATCCGACATATATATATATATATATATATATATATATATATATATATATATATATATATATATATATATATATATAGTTTGAGTTTAGTTCTTGAACCTTAATATATATTTTTTAGTGGATTCTCTTGGGCTTAGGTTCATAAAAAAATTTAGTTTGATACTAAGACATTTTTATATATATTTTTTCCGACGTTTCGGCAGGAAATCCATGCCTTTTTCAAGAATATATATTGACTAAAAAAAAACATTCTATGACAGACATAATATGGTTTAAAAAATAAACTTTTGACTTACCAAGCATGTAAAGATTTGGTGTTAACAATTAGACGTCACAATTAAAATAATTTTAAAACATAGGACATACCCACTAAGTCACTAAAAGTAAAATGTATTTTAAATCTAATGTGTTGTTTATTGATGTTGGCTTATCTTTTAAACAATCAGTTATTTTAACATCATAGGCGTTCTGAGATTGACTTATGTATATTTAAATTAAGTTAAAATATATTTTGTTCAAATTTTTGACATCTTTTTTATCATTTATTGCGTTATTATTTTTTTTTATTTGTATAGACTCTAGAAGCTCTCTCTTCTTCCTGTTGGCTTCACTTTTTAGGATCTTGGTTTGCTCAAAATCAAATTTATGTTTTTTTTTCGTTTTCATGTTTTGTGAGGGCGGTTGAGTTTTTTTTGTCATATTTGTGGGAACGTATTCTTGAATTAAGTAGTTGACTGGTTTGTCCAATATAAACTCCATCACAATTCGAGCAGGGAATTTCATATACAACATGTGATCTTTTTAATAAAGGGGTTTTTGTTTTCAATCTTGTAAAATTCCTTTTCAAAAGATTGTGACCTTTATGAGCAACCGTAATATTATGTTTAGACAGAAGATTTGCTATTTGTTCTGATAACCCTTTTATATAGGGGAGAGACATATAGTTTTTCTTTACCGTGTTGGTTTTATTATTATTATTGTTATTGTAAAATTTATGCAGTCGCGATTTGAAAGTGTTGTCGATAAGGTGGTGTGGGTATGAATTAAGTGTAAGTGCTGTTTTTGCTTTTTTAATGGCCTGAGGTCTATTGATAGGATCGGATAATCTAATAGCTCTATCAGCGAGTCCGATAACTACTGATTTCTTTTGAGACAGGGGATGATGAGAGTTGAAATTTAGATATCTCGACGACCAGGTTTTTTTGGTGTACCATGAAGTAGTTATAGTGCTGTTTTCCCTATGCAAGGTCAGGTCCAGAAAATTAATTTGATTATTTTTTTCAATTTCTAATGTGAATTTTAGTTTTTGGTGAAAGTTATTGAATTCATTGAGTAAAATATCCATTTTATCCTCTGGTGCTGCACTCAAGCAGTCATCTATATAGCGATAGAAAAAAGGTATATCAAAATCTATTTTATTTAAAACAATTTCTTCTAGATGCTCTAAAACTAATTGAGCGATGGCACTGGATATGCTAGCACCCATAGCACATCCATCTGTTTGTTGGAAGATTTTGTTTTTATATTGAAAATAGGTTGACTTTAATGTTGTTTCGACTGCTAGCAGAAATTCTTCTAGAGGGATGTCTGTGAACGCTTTGATTTCGTTCCACGAATTAGTTTTAGAGCATCTAGAAGAAATTGTTTTAAATAAAATAGATTTTGATATACCTTTTTTCTATCGCTATATAGATGACTGCTTGAGTGCAGCACCAGAGGATAAAATGGATATTTTACTCAATGAATTCAATAACTTTCACCAAAAACTAAAATTCACATTAGAAATTGAAAAAAATAATCAAATTAATTTTCTGGACCTGACCTTGCATAGGGAAAACAGCACTATAACTACTTCATGGTACACCAAAAAAACCTGGTCGTCGAGATATCTAAATTTCAACTCTCATCATCCCCTGTCTCAAAAGAAATCAGTAGTTATCGGACTCGCTGATAGAGCTATTAGATTATCCGATCCTATCAATAGACCTCAGGCCATTAAAAAAGCAAAAACAGCACTTACACTTAATTCATACCCACACCACCTTATCGACAACACTTTCAAATCGCGACTGCATAAATTTTACAATAACAATAATAATAATAAAACCAACACGGTAAAGAAAAACTATATGTCTCTCCCCTATATAAAAGGGTTATCAGAACAAATAGCAAATCTTCTGTCTAAACATAATATTACGGTTGCTCATAAAGGTCACAATCTTTTGAAAAGGAATTTTACAAGATTGAAAACAAAAACCCCTTTATTAAAAAGATCACATGTTGTATATGAAATTCCCTGCTCGAATTGTGATGGAGTTTATATTGGACAAACCAGTCAACTACTTAATTCAAGAATACGTTCCCACAAATATGACAAAAAAAACTCAACCGCCCTCACAAAACATGAAAACGAAAAAAAACATAAATTTGATTTTGAGCAAACCAAGATCCTAAAAAGTGAAGCCAACAGGAAGAAGAGAGAGCTTCTAGAGTCTATACAAATAAAAAAAAATAATAACGCAATAAATGATAAAAAAGATGTCAAAAATTTGAACAAAATATATTTTAACTTAATTTAAATATACATAAGTCAATCTCAGAACGCCTATGATGTTAAAATAACTGATTGTTTAAAAGATAAGCCAACATCAATAAACAACACATTAGATTTAAAATACATTTTACTTTTAGTGACTTAGTGGGTATGTCCTATGTTTTAAAATTATTTTAATTGTGACGTCTAATTGTTAACACCAAATCTTTACATGCTTGGTAAGTCAAAAGTTTATTTTTTAAACCATATTATGTCTGTCATAGAATGTTTTTTTTTAGTCAATATATATTCTTGAAAAAGGCATGGATTTCCTGCCGAAACGTCGGAAAAAATATATATAAAAATGTCTTAGTATCAAACTAAATTTTTTTATGAACCTAAGCCCAAGAGAATCCACTAAAATATATATATATATATATATATATATATATATATATATATATATATATAAAATATAAAATATTTATCTGCCAAATAAAAAATTGAATAAAAAGTTATCTGAAAAATAAATTGTGTGTATTGTAGTTAGTTATTATGTTGTAGACAATGACGTATAATAAATATATAGACTAAGCAGTTCCGTATTCTCGCTATATTAATCGGGTGTCAGAAAGATATCCGCTCAAGGGTTGAAGGTAATGAAGGTGTTTACCAGAACAGCGGCGTGCTCATTTATATTTTAATGACAATAATTATTTTTTTAATTTAAATTAAATATTTATGTTTTTTTTTTGTTCACGCCTTTAAGAGAAAAAATTATTTTTATAAAATAGTATGGCATTTTACTAAAATAGTAAGTAAATAACTCTCAACAATTCAAAATAAAATTTGCTTGTCCACAGCCAACTTTACTTCCAAGCCATGAAATAGAAATTTGGCAACAACGTGTGGTAGTCCGACCGTGGTTTGTTGTGTTTAAAATTTCATATAGGAAGGCTAGTGAAGTTTGTTGAATTTAGTATTTTTTAATTTTATTCGAATGTTTTATTTTTAACTTGTATTCAAATCAATTATAAAATATTAATACAAGTGAAATTTCATTAAGTCTAGAACTTTTAGAAGATTTTTAACGACAATTTAAAAGACAAGTATAAATATAACCTACAAAAATAAACTAAAAACAATAATAATACTTTTGCTTCTTGTTACAAAATAAACTGAAAACAATAATAATACTTTTGTTTTTTGTTACAGATACCCCAGCATTGTTGTGTACCTGGTTGCAAAACCAATTATGCCAGTACTTTAAAAACGACAGAGGCAGAAAGTACGTTTTCGTTTCCCAAAGATCCAAAAAGTATACTTGGTTATGCTCTATTCATAGAGAAGGCTATACCAAATCTTCCGTATAGGTGCTAAACATTTTCATGAAGATGATATTCAGCGGATTGGACAATAAGAAGATAAAGATGGAAATGTAGGCATTGAAAAGTTAATATTTCCCAAATTAAAAGACAATGCAGTTCCTAATATATTTCCTGAACTACCATCATATCTAACTGTTCATCATACTAAGAAAAGAAGAAATCCCGAAGACAAAAGAAAATTTTTGCATAAGAAGAGGGAACAAGAGATTACATAATTTTTAGACAATGATTTAATAGATTCATGGAATCATTCTTAAGAGACTTAGACAATAATATTCCATTGAAAAACTGGAAGAGTAAAATTACAAGTGACTGTGTATATTTCTATGTATTAAACATTAATCAGTTAGGACATGAGTGTGATTATATAAGTGTAATAGTTAGCAGTAATTTTAGTGTAATCATCTATGTAGGTAAGAATAGATTCAGTAGCAATGATTTGAAATGGATTTTACAAGATAGTAAATTAACAAGATAGTCCCAATTAGAGAACTTACTTTCTCGATATAGTTCTGCTTTTTAGATAAGTGATAACAAATTTGAGTATTACATTCAAAAATCTTTAGAGACTATTCAAGGGGCTATAGGCTATTTAAAATCGATATACAAGTTATAAGTGGTATGTTACATTCAACACATTTTTTATGTATACCTCTTTTACATATATGTATTTAGTCTATATGACAAAAACCCTATTCATATTGAAAAATTGCTACTTTCGTATACCTAAGTATGAAAATTCGTTAGGTATTTAATTTTCTATTAGATTAATTTAGAACCATATTTATATTATGTCTGATTTCTTAGGATGAATTTTTTGATCATAATAGGTACACTAAGTTTTTACTTAGTTTTGTATCTAAATTTTATATCTTTTGTATTTTTAATAATTTTTTGAAATGTTGTGCTAATGTTAATTGTGGTATTTATATGC